GTATTCCGAGCCCTACCCCCTATCTATCTTTCGGCACAGTGTTTTGGTTGAATGTCGGAGACTTTGTAACTTAGCGCGACTATATTGATCAATCCCTTTAGTGATCCGATGAAGGAGCAGAAAGAATTCTCTCCTTTTTCCTAGAGGTGATCCTGAGTTATCGAACCCACGAGAGGACGGTGCCCTTTAAGCAAGGGTTTCTAACAAGTTTTTGCAAGAGAATTAAATTTCAACTTTTGACCAGATCGCAAATCAAGCTGACACTGAAAACACTTATAATAAAAATAGGCATGGGCATGAGGACTTATGTTACAACCATATATTTGTGTCGATATCATCATGATCTTAATTTTTGCTCCGGAAGGCATCCATCAAGATGTGCTTGCTATGTACCGAAGTGGGGGATGTGTTCAAATTACGTCTTAACCAGCACGCGTCCTGCATTAAGAGTCAGTTGTCCAACCTAAGGCCCTATCCATCATGTGGGGTTACCGCGATATTTAAGGTACAAATAATCGAACAAAAGCATTGGGCATTTAACGACTACATCTCTTGAATCTCTAAGGATAGGATCCGTGTTACCGTACTAAATATTTCTATCTCTGATGTTTAGAATAACACTTCATGGTTTCCCTGCTCTTAGCCTCTCCGTGACTCGCTCTCCATGATCCTAGGTACCTACACTGATGAAGAATGTGAACAAGACAAGAGACAACTACGGAGCAACTTTATGCTACACATACAAGACATTAATTCAAAGTACTTTCATCAGTCTCTCCAACAAATACATCGGGTTGCATGGCCTTTGCCTCGACCCATAACCTTACTGAACTACTCACACATAAAGATTAGATCATACGTAGAACTCATCATGAAGATTGATTGATTGATTGATTATATGTCTTACAATGGATGTCGTATGTGACAAGATGGCTAAGAACTATGGTGGTGATGAAAGTTGTGGCTATGAAGGTGGGAAAATGAGTGGCTAGGGTTGATGGAGATGGCTTTTGTGCAGACGACGTTGTGTGGCTTGTTCTGCGATGTTCTGTTGCTCATTTGGCGTCGCGCCTTTTATAAAGGTTGTTCAGGTGGATCAGACGTCTCAGTTGGCACGCCATATGACCGCCCATATGAGCGGGCACGGGCGCATGGAACGTTGTCTTCTGCTCTGGCGCCTCTTATGTGCCTCCCACTTGATCTCCTCTATCTTCAGTTTACTCATTTTCGTGTATTGACTTGATTTCATCCATAAATAGTCCATTTCCTGTGAAAACGAAATAACGATTGGATATTTGGAATCCTTTGTATTCATTAGTCATTAATTAGAATGAATATCTTAGTTTTAATAAAATACTTTGGTTTAAGCTCAGGTTAGAGGAGTGTAAAAAATAACACTCATCAACTATATGGGGTGATCTGTGAGAGTTCTTATTCTGGGGCACGACTATATGTCGCTTAGCGCGAGACGGAGCTTACACTCGCGTCGAGGTTCGGTATTAACAGGCCAGCCCAAGTAGCTTCCATGTTAGTTTGTTTTTCTGCTATTTTTCATTAGTTCATTTTTTTGTTTATATTTACCAAAATAAGCAAAAATTAAATGTTATTAAAATTTTAAAATGTTGAAGCGGTGCACAAAATTTATTAGCCTAATCCTAAAACAAATGTTGATACCATTGAAAAAAGTTCTTTGTGACAAAAAAGTTCACGTGTTTAAAAAAATTGTACATGGCATTATGGAAAAATGTTAATCATGTATTACAAAAATGTTAGATCTGTATAAGAAAATGCTCTTGACGTTTAGAAGAAATATGTAAATATGTATTAGAAAAGAAGACATAAAAACATATATACATGAAAAAATGATAATCATGACCTTAAATAATGGAAAACATGTGCAAAACAAATGTTAGCGCAATTTAAAAAATGTTGCTGCGTTTCTAAAAATATATGTGGAATATTTGAAAAATATTAATACAAAGTCAGAATTTTTTTTGGAGTATAAAAAACTTTCATAACATTTATAGAATGCACATGAAATTTTAAAGAAATAATCTCGCTTTTCAAAAAAAAATGTTACTGTCATGTTTAACAAATGTTTACATATTGTAAGAAAATGTTCACGTTGTTAACAGAAATGGTTGTAACCAGAATAAACTTTGACCAACTATTTGAATGTTTTTCAAAACATGTATGAAAGAAATGTACATCGTGTATTTGAAAAAATGTTCAACGGGTATTAATAAAAACTGTTTCATGTACAGACTAAAAATGTATATTGGGCACTGAAGATAAGTAGACATGTGTTAAACAAAAAAATGAAAAACGACAAACAAACAAAGAAGAAATGCGTAGACAGACCGGAAAAAAAATGAGAGAGAAAAAACCAATACCAAAGGAAACTGAAAAAGAAACAAAGAAAACTGGTGACAAAACTCGCCATGCCTCTCGCGGGGGCAAAACATTTCCTCTCGTGTAAGCAAAACCATGCATCGCACGAAAGAAAAAAAAAGTGAAAACTCTTTTATTTTTCTTTCGTTTTCGAGGGGCACGGCCGTGCCTCTCACGGAAGCAAAACCATGCCTCTCGTAGAAGCAAAATCGTGCCTCTTAAGAAAGAAAAAGAAGCATGTTTTTTCATGCATTTTTTGAATTTTGTTTTTGTCAAAAACTTAGTAAGACCGGTGAAAAACCGAAAAGTAAAAAAAACAGGGAAAAACCATCTAAAAAGCCAAAAACACATGCGAAAAAAAAAATCTGGAGGAAGCACCTAGGTCGCGATATGTGGCGGTGGCGCGCTCTCAGTCCACTGATCGTTGCGAGGCTGCCGAAATAGCGCTCGTCAACTGGTTGTTCTCGAAAAATCAGTGAGATGGAAGAAACAGTCCTGTTGGGAGAAATATAGCCGTGGTGTTTATTCTACGTCTTCACGGTCCAATTTGGGCATAACGCGCGGTTAGGTCGCGACCCAATATGCCCGCTCGTCGTTTACTTGCCAGCCCGTTCGTTCGCTCTCTCGCGTACAATTGTCTTTTCTTTTATATCCCGCTTGATAGTTAGAAATATTCAACACATCATCGTGAATTCAAAAAATGTTCAAGAACATTTAGAGAAATGTTTATGAATTAAGAAATGATAAAAAATTAGATTATTTACGAATTGAAATAGATTCTTGAATTTTAAAAATATTCAAAAAGAAATTGCATGGAATTTGAATATAGTTTTGAATTCAAAAGTGATTTTAAAACATTAATGAATTTATAAAACGTTCACACATCTTAAAATTTCATGGATTATTAAATGTTCACAAATGTTTCAAAATTTCAGTAACTATGAAAAGGTTCAGGAAATTTAAAATATTTTTTACTTTTAAAAATTAAGGGAACAAATAAAACCAGCAATAAAGATAAAAAGTTAGAAAATAAATTCATCGGAAGCTGGTATAAAAACCCCAGAAGAGAGGGGTCCCATCCACCTGAGAAGGAAAAAAGGTGGTGGCGCCGGCACAAGAAGCTAATCCTTTCGAAATAGGCTTTCGCCCCGCTTTATAAATAAAGCAAAGATCCATACAACCAACATCTAGATAGGCCATAAAGGCGGCGGCTTGGGCAACAACACAATAATGCCCAAGGAGAAACATAAGAGAAAAGAAAAATAAGGCCACCTAGTGGCGGTCGCCGGGCGAAGCTAGGATGACGAAATCGGACGTGCTGAATCCACGAGCGCATCCAGCGTGGTGTCTAGACTCTCGCGGTCGTGCTGCCTAGCAAGTGGGTGCCATTGCTGCAGAGAAGCAAGGAATTCAAACAAAGAGTCAGATGCCTGCCTCGGGAACACCTTCTTAATCACCATTTTATTTCTTGTCGTCCAAAGAGTCCATGACATGGCCGCAAAGATCAGCCACAATGTGCGGCGGTGTCGTCCTAGCAAGGTAGCCCTGGCCTGGAGGAAGTCCACGAGATCCAGGGCCTCCCAGTCGGGCCCTAGTGCCTCACGAACGAACTGCCAAAGGACCCGAGCCATCATGCACGAGAATATAATATGGGCCATAGTCTCCGCGACCCGGCATAAAGGGCAAAGTCCATCACCCGGCCCCTGTCGTTTGAGAACCCCGGTTCCCGAAGGGAGGCAATCTCTAAGAAGCTGCCAAATGAAAATCTTTATCTTCAAGGGCATGGGGGCCTTCCACAAGTTAGATAGCCAAGGGATGACGGGGAGGCGGCCTAGACCCTTGTATGCGGATTTGACGGGAAACTCACCCGAAGGTGAGAGCTGCCACGATACAGTGTCCGGATAGTCCGACAACACTGGTGGCAGGGCTGCCAACACAAGAAGCTAATCTAGCCAGGCCATCAATGACATCTCGAACAACTGCCCAATATTACGGCATAATTGTTTAATTGGACATTTGAACCAAAAAAACCTTTCCAACAATTGCCCTTATTAAAAAAATACAAGATGTTTTTGGGCAGCCCAAAAAGGGCAGGGCCGACTGCACACCCCGGCTGCTCCCGCAAGCCCAAAAATGAGTCGTCCGCAGGCCCAAGCGTCACACCCAAAAACTTCCCGCAGCCACAAACCCTCCCATGTCGCCGCCGCTTCACCGGATCCGGCTGCCATTGCCTTCACTGCACCACCCCGCCACTCATATCCGTTGTTCCTCTACTCCAGTCGGCTGCACCGCCACCGCCCAGCCGCCACGTCTCCCCATTTTACTGTTGTCACACCGTGCCACACCGTTGAGTCCATCTTCCACTGTTGATGATGCCACCGCAACACGCGAAGAGCCAATCCGGCTATCGCGGCGTTCGGGCGGGGCAATCTGGCCGGTTTAGCATCGAGTTTCAATGCGACGGCTGACGGTACTGGCTCGGCACCTTCGCGACGGCAGAGATCGTCGCGCGCGCCTATGGCATCTCCGTGTGGAGGCTCGATCGGCCTTGACACAAGCTCAACTTCTCGAAGATTGAGACACATGTGGATGCAGATTTCATCGGCCCGATGGCAACCATTGCGTCCCGCTCGACGATGAGGGAGACCCGCAACATCCTCGAGCATAGGGACACTCAGGATAACGATGAGGTGGCTATGGCGAGTTCGTGAGGGAAAACCCACACCTCATGCAGGCGGATTTCTTCTAGAAGAGGGATAATGAGCGCAAGAAGATGGAACGCATGACAGAGGATGAGGCAGGGCCTTCATGGGTGATGAATATGCTGTCCGACGACGAGGGTTTCGACATTGACTGAGAGGGCCTTGCGCATGAGAGTGATGAGTAGTTGTCTACTGTTTGTAGTGTCGGTAGTGTACTATGTTTAAAAGTTCGAATGTTTGCATCTTTGCATATTTCAAACTATTTGGAAGTTTGCAAGTCTGAATGTTTGGATGTTTGAATGTGTGAACATTTGAAGTTTTATTCACAACAATGTGAACATTTGAAGGTCGCCATGATGTGCATGCAATATGCTCAAGTAGTTTGGATGTTTTAGCATGTTTTGAGTGCCCTAAAATAGGGCAACATGTTTCTGCAAAGAAAGAATGAATAAGAACAATTTTGAGTGCTATAAAATTACTTTTTACTGTCCTAAATTTGACTCCAATAGTTTTTTCCTCCTTAAATATGACAGTTCTTGAAGATTAGACACGGTTCTGTGTAACAAGAGCGAAATAGAAAATTGAGAATGGGCTGACAGTGAGAGGTAAGAGCATCTCTACTCTAGCTCATCCCCTAAATCCGGTTAGAGGAGTAAAACAAATTTCGGTTTTACTTCTCTGACCGGCACCTAGCTGATCCCCTAAAGTCTATAGTGGAGTAAAAAAATTACTCCTCGGCTCCGCCGACGCCTAATTATACTCGGCCTCAAACTGGCCGAGTAAAATTTGTGGCCTCTTTACCGTGCCCCTCCCCCTCTGCATCGTCGCCGGCGCACCTGTCGGCGACTAACCACCACCTCTGCCGCTACCTCGCTGCCTCCCTTGGCCCTCGCCGACATTCTGTTGTTGTTCGAGCCATTCGATGGCCATCGCCGATGCTGGAGTCGAGCAAAAACGCCGCAGCTGCGTCCACCATTTCGCTGGGAACCACCTCGGATCCTCTTTCTCGTTGGCTGGACGACATCTCACTGGCATTCCGAACCTTTGCCGATCTTTCCCACTCCTCAGCGCCTGCTCATTTGAGCTCTACGTTGCAGGCCGGCCGATACTTCTCCACCGCCTTGCAAAAGTTTGATGATTTTCCTAAGTGTTTTTTTTTGTTATTTTGTCTCATTTTGTTTGGCCGAGTTGAACTAACTGAGTCGTTTGAATTCAAGATGAAGAGGCTCAGAGATATGATCTTCGAGGACTCATCGTCATCGGAGGAGGAAGAAGATGGCGATGGCTAAGAAATTGTCCTCCGCATGATTTTCAATGATGATATTCGGCGTTCGAAAAGAGAATCACAGTTTGGCCGGATACAACTCCACCGTGATCGAGCGGAGGTCCGGGCCAACATTATGAGAGTTTATTTTGACCCTAATCCGACCTATCCGAGGAAGTATTTTGCCGGCACTTTCAGATGAAAACAAGTCTTTTTCTCACCATTTCACAAGCCGTGGAGAAGTATGATGGTTGGTTCAAGCTTTGAAGGAATGCATGCGGAGAGATAAGTGAGAGCCCTTTGATAAAGTGCATTGCGGTTGTTCGAGTTCTTTGCATATGGGTGTTCGGCCGATGCAATTGACGACTATGCCCGCATTGGGGAACATACAATCTTGGAGGCCATTCGAAGGTACACGAAAGCAGTGATTGATGTCTTTGTGCCGGAGTACTTGAGGGCACCCAACGAGGAAGAAACCCAGAGGCTTATGATAGAGAGTGGAGCAAGAGGATTGTCTGGGATGCTTGGATTAGTAGACTGTATGCGCTGGACCTGGAAAAATTGTCCTATAGGATGGAAAGGTCAGTATAAATGCCACTGCAACAATCCCACGATCATTCTTGAGGCTATTGCATCAGAGGATCTATGGATTTGTTATTCATTCTTTGGATTGCCTAGCCCACACAATGAACTGAATGTGCTTTTAAGATCACCACTGTTTGCTAGGCTTGTTGCGGGACATGCTCCTCCTTGCAACTCTACATCAATGGTCATGAGTACACGATGGACTACTACCTTGCGGATGCCATCTATTCTTCATGGGCCACATTTGTCAAAACAATTCCGCACCAAAAGGTAACAAAAGTTCTTACTTTGCAACACATCAAGAGTCTACTACTCTCCCCGTTTCTAAATATAAGCCTTTTTAAATATTTCAATGTGGACAACATATGGATGTATATAGACATATTTTATAGTGTAGGTTCACCCATTTTGCTCTGTATGTAGTCCGTATTAGAATCTCTAAAAAAGCTTATATTTAGGAACGGAGGGAGTAGAAAGGATGTGGAGAGAGCTTTTGGTGTGCTTCAGGAAGCGCTTTGCAATCGTTCGTGTCCCTGCCAAGCATTGGAACTTCAAGGTTCTATGACGAACCATGACTTGTTGTACCATTTTACATAACATGATCATCGAAGATGAGAGAGGAATGCCTGAGAACTTTCAGTACATCACTATTGAGAATCCTGTTAATTCAGAACACGGTCGAAAAAAGAATCAGGTGTTACTTGAAGCGCAACGGAGGATTGAGAACCTAGAAGTTCATAACCAGCTCCAACATGATCTTGTTGAGCATCAGTGTCATCTCCGTAGCACTTCGTAGTTGTGATTCTATCATGCTATGTACTTTATTTGAACCATTCGGTGTGTTTGAATTTGAATAATTTGATTTCTAAACTATGAATGTGTAATATTTATGAATTGTGTGAAACTTATTTATTATCTTTTGTTTTTATATGTGTGCTAATATGTAGTCAGGTTTATTTCGGTGGCCGAAAATGAAAAGAATTTGACAAACATAGAAATTTACTCCACTAATTTTAGAATTTCGGTTAGGTCTGACAAAAAAATAGTGGATCAAATTTGCTCCACTGTAGCTAACTCGACGTTTATTCCTCTATTATTTTTTAGGGATCTGACCGAAGATAGTATAAGACTAAGAGCACGGAATGAGAGGAGAAGCTTCTCCAAATTTATAGCCACCAATCGACGATAGAAACCGGTGGCCAGCGTGGTATCGCAGTGTCGGTACACCCTCCAAAAACCATCCTGGCACAAGCGTGAGGTACATTTGTTAATCAATTGGTAAGGCACCTGTTGAACACGCGTACCATCCAAACCCAGCTGCTGCTCGTCTCAAACAACAGGGGGTGTTCAGGCTCAATGGGCGCCCAGTGCGCGTGGGACGAGCACGACGTCGACACTCTCGGTTGCTTTGGCAGTCAACGCAACACGGCCTTTTGCTTCGACGTCTTTCCAGAGCGCGCGCACCGCCGTCCACGCCGTCCCCGCGTATTAAAAACTCGCCGCCGCCGTTGCTGTCAAAACCGTGGTGCGACGCGGCGAGACCAGCCAACACCACAGTTAGCATGAACCCAACATATTCCCGTGGGCAAAACAAATACGGTAGTAGAAGCTGCGCCAGATACAAATAGGTGCCAACACATCTTTACATTTCCTCAAACCAGCCGAGATCACATCACACAACACACAACAGACGACACAAAAACTCCTGAAACTAGCGTCGGTAGGCACCGAGAGCTTCTTCTGAAGATGAGCGTGGAGATCCTGGACGGGAAGACGGTGCAGAGCTTCGTGGAGGACGAGTGCGCCTTCAACGCCTCCGTCGACGGCCGGTTCGCGGCGCTCGATGCCAACCACGACGGTCTCCTCTCCTACACCGAGATGGCCGGGGAGATCATGAGCCTCCGGGTCCTCGAGAAGCACTTCGGCGTCGACGAGGCCGGTGCCGTTGGTCCCGACGAGCTCGCAAAGCTCTACCTCGGCCTGTTCGCGCGCTTCGACCGTGACGGTGACGGCGCGGTGGACCGGGAGGAGTTCCGGGCCGAGATGAAGGAGGTCATGCTCGCCGTGGCCAACGGGCTCGGCTTCATGCCGGTGCAGATGGTCGTCGAGGAGGGGAGCTTTCTCAAGGTGGCTGTGGACAGGGAGCTGGCCAGAGCTGCCTGACGGATTCTGTCTGTACTAGCTTGTAGTACGAGTGTATGTTACAGAGTGAGGCATTAAGCGGGTGAGGATAATGTTTTTGTTTTATTTTCAGAGCGAGAAGTGAGTATTAATGCTGAAGCCTCAATGGCATTCAGCTATATCTACGTGATTGTGTATTTACAATTTTACATAGACGAATTTGTCCGATTAAAGTTAACTTGTCGATTAATCCCTATTAATAGAATCACCGATAGCCAATAATTTTTTTCTCGAATACGCCTAGATGGCGTATCATTGCATTGATAGGGGAGACATAATGAAGTTACAAGCGTTAGGGGGGGTGGTGTCATCACAGAAACGTACACATAAATGGCGTGACGGGGTGAGCAGGAGACAGAGGGTTGCTCAGCCCTCGGGAAACGCGATCAGGTTACACTAGGACCCAGGTTCATTCCTCTAGCTCGAGCCAAGGCCCAAGAGCGAGCTTCATCCTTGATTGCTACTATAAGCGATGGCAGGGAGGGCGCAATCTTGTCGAAGATGACGGCGTTCCGGTGCCGCCAGAGGGACCACGCGACAAGGGAGGCCACGGTGGCGAGCGCACGACGCTTCGGCGTCGGAGTGCCTAGGAGAGTAGTATATAGCCAGTCGAAGAAGTCAGCCGAGCCGTCAGGGATAGCCGTAGTTGGAGAGCACCAGGAGAGAATAGCATGCCATGTCGCCCGCGCGAAGACACAGCCCACCAGGATGTGGCGCATGGTCTCGGGTTCCTGGGAACAACGCACGCAGGCCGGCTCGTGGGGCAAGCCGCGCCGCGCAAGGCGGTCCGCGGACCAGCAGCGGTTGAGGGACGCCAGCCAAATGAAGAACTGCATCGAGGTGGGAGCGCTGGTTTGCCAGGCGAGGTGCCAGGTGGGCGAGGAGGTGGAGCCATGGAAAAGGGCGGTGTAGCAGGATGAGGCCGAGTAGCATCCGTTTTCTGCCCAACGCCAGCGGATCGAGTCCGGTCGGGGGAGCAGCTGGACCTGCTGGAGGCAGATCCAGAGGCCAACATATTCCACAGTGGCCGCCAAACCCAGAGCACCCTGGATGTCACGAATCCAGCGGCGATCCGTAAGCGCATCTGCCACCATGCGAGAGTTGCAAGCACGGCGAGGAACAAGGGCCGTGACATGAGGAGCAGTGTGAAGAATAGATTTTCCATCCAGCCATGGGTCGATCCAAAAGCGGCAGGAAGTGCCATCGTCAATGGACCATATCGTGGAAGCTCGGAAGAACTGAAGCACCTCGGGGTCGTGGGGCAGCTTAAGGTGAGCCCAGGGCCGGGAGGGGTCAGTAGCCTGCAACCAGAGCCGACGGACACGAAGAGAGATTCCAGTGCGCCGGAGGTCACGGATACCTAAACCACCCAAGTCCAGAGGGCGGCAGACCCGCGCCTAGCTGACCAAGCAAGATCCAGAGCGCGCATCCGTACGCCCATGCCACAAGAAATCCCGGAGGATGCGATTGGCCTTCTTGAGGATGGGAGGGGAGATTGCCATGGCCAGGAGCAGGTGGACCGGCATGGCACTCAGGACTTGGCGGACCAGAGTGAGATGCTCATCGCGGTTGAGAAGAGCGGCCTTCCAAGTGGCCAGCTTGCGCGTGAGTTTCTCGATGATTGGCATGAGCTGGGATGGAGGCACCCTCTTGATGGACAGTGGGAGGCCCAGGTACTGGATCGGGAAGGCCACGACAGGGCAAGAGAGCGTAGAGCCAATGGAGGTAGAGACGTCGTCGGGGCATTGAATTGGCGCGGCGAGGCACTTAGCAAAGTTAGTGCGCAAGCCAGAGGCAGCACCAAACAGGTCCAAGAGTTTGCTGACGGTCGAGAGCTCCGCGGCATCGGGGTGGCAGAAGATAACCACATCATCGGCGAACAGGGAGACACTGGAAGCAGCATGTTGCAGGGTTAGGCGCTTGAGGATGCCGGACTGGACCACGAACTGAAGCATGGTATTGAGCGTGTCAATGACCAGTGCAAAAAGCATGGGGGAGACAGGGTCCCCCTGCCGGAGCCCTTGCCCGTGGGGAATGGGAGGCCCAGGTGTCCCGTTGATCAAGACGCGAGTGGAAGCAGTCGAGATCAGGATGGAGACCCACTCACGCCAACGATGGCCAAAGCCCAAGTGCTGCAAAACCTCCATGAGGAACGGCCAAGAGACCGAATCTAAGGTGCGCGCAATGTCCAGTTTCAAAAGGACCCGAGGCTGCTTAAGTTGGTGGAGATGCCTGGCCGTTTGTTGGACGAGAAGGAAGTTGTCGTGGATGCTCCTTCCGGCAATGAAGGTGCTCTGGTTTGAGGAGACGAGCTCGGCGAGGCGCGGAGCCAGCCGCAAGGAGAGAACCTTGGCAAAGAGCTTGCCAATGATGTGGATGAGGCTGATCGGACGATAGTCGAAGAGGGAAGCGGCGTCCGAGCGCTTGGGCAGCAACGTGATCAGAGCTTCGTTAAGGTGTTGGAAAGCCATGCCATTGAGAGAATATAGCTTGCTGAAAACATCACAGATGTCATCCTTGATGATGGGCCAGCAAGCGCGGAGAAATTCTGTGGTGAAGCCGTCGGGACCTGGAGCTTTGCCGGATGGAAGGCGCTTGATTGCCTCCCAGATTTCCTCGGGCGTGAATGGCTACTCGAGGGCGGAGAGATCAAAGGATCGATGGCCGATTGCAGCCAGGTCTAGGGCGACAGAGCGCGGCGCCGGCGGGCCTAGGACCCTGGCGAAGTGGGAGAAGGCCGTGCGGGCCATGCCGCTTTCATCTGAGATGCGCGTGCCATCCACGAGCAGGTCGAGCATGCGATTCTTGCTGGCTCTTTGGGAGACACGAATCTTGGAGAAGGCAGACGCGGCCTCGCCCACGGATAGCTAGCGCAGGCGGGCACGTTGACGGGCGATCGAATGCTCCAGCGAAGCGAGACCGAGGTACTTGCGCTTGAGCAGGCAGCGTAACCAAACCTCGGCCGTAGAGAGACGCCGGTAGTCCTGGGCCGCATCGAGACAAGAGATTAGCTCGCGAGTGACCGCGAGCTGGGAGGCGATGCTGGCAGTGGTCCGCGAGTTCCAGCGCTGCAGACTACGTGTCGTGGCCCTGAGACGCGCGAAGATGCGCCGGAAGGGGTCGCTGTCCGGGGGTACAGAGGCCCAGGCACTTTGCACAGTCTGGTGGAAACCATCGAGGGTAGGCCAATGGCGCTGGAAGTGAAAACGTCGGCCCACACCAGAGCGAGGGGTGCAATCTAGGAGTAGCGGGCAGTGATCCGATGCTGCAGAGGCGAGGCATCGAAGCAGACAGTGAGTGTTGGACAACGCCCATGAGGGAGTGCACAAGATGCGATCATTGGGGACAAGGGTGGGGTTATCCTGCTCATTCGACCAAGTGTAGCGGCGCCCGTGAAGGTAGATGTCATGCAGACCATGGTCGGAGATAAAGCGTCGAAACCGGTTCATCAAGCGGCAGTTGATGCGGTCGTTGCTCTTGTCACTGACAGAGGAGATCATATTAAAATCACCGCCTAGGAGCCAGGGGCCAGAGATAGATTGACGCAAGTCCTGGAGCTCGGCAAGGAAGGAGATCTTGGCCTCATCGCTTTGCGGGCCATACACTCTGGTGAGCCACCAATGATCCCCACCAGAGACGGCAGTCACCGCTGCGGAGACGTGATGATCGCCCACAATGGGGTTGGTAAGAGAGACACTGTTGCTACACCAGGCAAGAATAATGCCGCCACGAGTGCCGTCCGCGGGTAGCCAGAAGAATTTGTCGAATGCGGCCCCAAGGGTTTCACGAATAAGGCTCGGCGAGACACGGGAAAGTTTAGATTCTTGGAGATAAACAATACACGGTGAGACGGAAGCGATTACAGAGCGGACAGCAGCGCGCTTGGCTCCGTTATTCAAGCCGCGCACATTCCAAAATACAACCTTAGGGGTGTACTCCATAAGAAGGGTTGGGGGCACGGGGATGGGGCGCGGGCAGGAGCGCGCCAATCATGCCGCGATGGGGGCTGGCAGTGCAGACAGGGGCGCAAGGCCTTCAAGGACCGACTGCGGCACATCCCAGCCATAAAAATCCACGAAGGCTCGAGGACGGTCGAAGAGCTTGTTGTACCGGGCTAGGATCTCATCAGTAATGGGCTCATCATCCTTGAGCAGCCCCAGGCGGAGGAGGAGGACTCGCTTTGCTTTCGCCTTGGAGTGGAGGCCCCGGTCTCCCTTGGCGATCCGCGTACTCCAGCGAGGAGTGAAGTCCGGGGGCATAGCTGCCTTGCCCCGGCGCGGCGCCGGCGTACCAAGGATAGGTGTAACAGCACTGCTAATGGAGCTAAGAAAGCCCAGAAGAGGAGGGAGAGGGGGACGTCAACAGTGTCCACCGGCCGCATGGGAGCAGACTGCTCGAGCGACGTGGCGCAATTAGGGCCACTGCAATAGGTGATGCGACCTGGCCATGCAACGTGCTGGTGTCCGCTCCGGATGCGACAGCAGGGTGGCCCAGGGGGCAGGAGACCGGATCAGGGGTGGGGACCAGATCAGGGGAGGGATCCTTCTCGGGGGACACGCAAATCCCAACCACTGGGGCCGCGTTGGGGTCGGGGAATATTCCACGGCATCCACCAACGACACACGGCCAACAGATTGGGGGCTGGCAGGACGCGCAGCAGTGGGTGGAGCCGAGGCGGGGTCCATGAAAACGACCGCAAGGTCAGGATCAGGAAGGGGATCCAGGTGGGTGCTTCGGGAGGCGACGCCTCAATCATGCGCGGACAAGGCGACGAGGAAGGTTCTCGTGTCTCCTCGAACTGGCCAGGAGTGCCACTTGGCGAGTCTGGACCGGCGGGAAGCATCGTGCCAGGGGGTGGTTTGAACAGGGTC